CCTCCCAGGTTGATGCCCAGAAGCCCCAGGACACTCTGGGTCTGTAGCTCACGGCGCTCCAACCATGGCCCACAGGCCATTCACCCTCCCTTGGACTTGCCCTGTCAAGACAACCATGTCCACACGGACGGAACACACAGCCCAGCTTGGAGCAACAGGACAAGATGTGATTGACTTTCACTAAACACCCCAAGTCAATTGGTAAATCACACCAGAAACAAAAACACAGCTATCACAGAATAACCATACTTTGAGCCCACCCATCATTCTGGCAAAGTGTTGGCCCAAAATTGCGTTCTCGGGATTACTGACCCGCTCTGCAGACAGGAAGAGGAAGGGATCACTCACCAACTCCTCAGCACCCTGAATACAAAAGCACATGGGAGGAGGGAACAATCTGGCAGTGTACCAAAGAAAAGACATTTAATCAGTCCCTTGCTATCTACTAGGTCCTACATGCTGTCACTGATACATTCCACTCAAGAGTCAAGAAATTACCAATGTTTCCCTATGCCAAGTACCAAGGGAGGCAGAGGAACAGAGGTAAGAGAGCACACAGGCAGGGAGGGCCGAGAACTAGATCACCTGCCATGACGGCTAAGAGGTGGACAAGCCTCAGCACTGCCAAACTGCCCAGGGTAGGGAGGGGTGAGGAAAGTGCTGGTGAGCTAGCCTGGGAAGCAGGACGAAGGAAGGTGGCAGGCAAGAGCAATCTGGGCCAGAGGAACAGGAAAGGCGCAGCCTCACAGCAGCCAGAAGGTGCAGACCTGTCTGGCGAAGTGTGCGACAGCAGCACGTTTTCCATTCCTAAGACCAGAACGGCCAACTGAAACAATAACCTGACTCGCTGCCACCTGGGCCAACCAGAGCTTTAACCACAGTACTTCCTGTGCCCTCAATACTTTCCCGTGGTGACGGTGCCCGGCACACAGCAGGTGGGAGTTGGCGACAGTGCCCGGTACACAGCAGGTTGTGGTGAGGGCTTGTTACAGGGCTGTGGGGAGGCATTACCATTCCTCTCCCGGAGGCGCCAAGTACCAGGAGCTTCCTCTTGCTCTCTGCAGTGGCCAAAGTGTTCAGGGGGAAAGGCCCACCTACTCTCAAATGGTTCAGAAGATAAATTATGTATGTGCATACATACATACGCACGTGCACACATGGGGGATAAGGCAGATGAGCTAAAATGCTAACAACAGGTAAGTCTGTGTAGAGGATATGCGGTTGTTCTTTGCATGAATTTTATTCCTGCAACTTTTCTGTAATTTTGAAGTTATTTCCAAGTTTTCTTCGGATGTTTAAAAAAAAAAAAGACAATTCATTAGCTAGCTAGTGAGGCTGGAAAGTGTGTTAATCCTACTTTCCAACTAAAAAGAATGAAATTGTTAAGCTGAAAGCGCAATCAGCCAGCGGAGCAAGTTCTACAGTGTTACAGGGAGGCGGGCTGTGAAGGAAAGAGCTCAGAACTCAGAAAGCGGCTGGCAAGCCCAGGTGCAGGTCCAACTTCCCAGCTACTCCCATGAGCTTCAGACGAGTCTGCTTCTAAAACAGCCACACTCTTCCTATTCACGAACTCAAGTGCTGCTCCAGAAGCAAGGTGCTGCAGCCACTAGTTCGTTCACTGAAAATTTACCAGTTCGGCAGAGACAGCAGGCCCTCTGGATCCCTAATGACAAAGGGGAAAGAACCCTTAAGTCGGAACCAACTCACCTGGGTTTGAATCCCAGCTATGCTGCTCACCAGCTGTGTAACCTTATGCAAGTCATTTGCCTCTCCCAGCCAGCTTTCCCAACAGTACAAAGAAGACAGCTTCCAGTCCCACCACCTCATCAGGCAGCCTCACTGAACACAAGCCTTTTTACAGGGCTGGGACAGAGCTCACTTGGAGAAGGCAAATGTTTTCTCAGCTACGTATGGTGGGGGCCACCCTAGACTGAGCTGTGGCTAACACCATGGCATGATTTTCTATCATAACTGAAGCTAGAAAAACACTTTCAGAATCAGCAATTGCTACTGCATTACCTGCACACATGGAGAAAGGGACAAGATGATACCACGGTCACTGGCTCCCCAGAAGCCCCTCCATGCTTGTTGCCCCTCAGCAGAGGTCTCCAACCTACCCTTCTCACCACAGCCCCAGGAGGGAGATGTAACACCCACCACCACTGGTCCTTACGGCTAACCACAAAAGGGATTTGAGGGGACGGCTGGTTCTATCCCTCAGATCAGAATGTTTAGATGAAAAAGGGACCCTCACCAGAGAACCACTGGGTCTATCATGGGAAGAGATGTGTCCTGGAGTTCCACAGCTGGGGGTTAAGGATGGCCAAGACAGGACATATACAGCTGGGGCAGACACAGCCTCAGCCAAGGGCACATGATGGGAACAAAGGCCAGACATCTGGGGCTGAAATCTCATCTCAGCCACTTAGTTTCGTGAGTTCTCTGTGGTTGTTTCCCTATCTGTAAAATGGGGCTAATAGCAGTCATCTACCTCACAGGGACCACCTGAGAGTTAAGCAACGCACATGTTAGTACATATTAGAACAGCACCTGGCATGTAACACAACCTCAATCAACCAAGATCAAACATGCATTTAAAAGAAACTTTGCCAAAAGCTCTCTTGTCGCCCCCACTCTGTGAAAGGTCTCACACCCTGGCTGCACCAGAGAAGAGCCAAAGGTGGCTTGGCCCTGGTCCTCAAGAACTCCCTCCCTCCTGGGAAGCAGGTTCTGCCTTATGCCCTCCTCACACCCAAGTACAGGTCTAAGCTGGGACTCCCATAGAAAGAATGCAGGTGAAGACCAGGGAAGGTCTCCTTCACAAGCACCAGCCAGCAGACCCCTGCCTGGAAGGACACAGAGCACATACAAGCACCCAAGGAGAACATATGACCCCAAGTGAGACCTGCCCTTGCTGCTCAGCCAAAATCAGGGAACCATTTGGAGCTCTCCGGGGGCAGAGCAACTCAAGATACCACCAGGAGTCACTGCAAAGTTCTGATCTGGAAAGTCATGGAATGCAAAGGATAACTTTGCTCCCTCAACCAGAGCCACCTCCCTGCCCCAACTCAGACCTAAATGTGAAGTCTTCTGTGAAGCCCTCCCCTGCCTCACGGGTACAAATGACTGGCCGGCCACCGCTGCTGCCTGCCTCTAAGCCCCCATACTCGATGACCTGATTTATATCCAGCTTCTGCTTCCATACTTAAAGGGCACTCCTAGAGAAAGGGGTTTATTCATTTCATTTGAGCATCCCTAGTGGTAGGCAGACAGTGAGGACTTGAAAACGCTTTCTGAATTGTTGCTGGCCAGCTGGCAGGATACATGGACAGCAAAGGAAAGGGAGCTGGGGACATTAGTCACCTCTACCATCCAGGCAGGAGATGCTGGACCTGGAACCAGAGGCACCCCAAGGAAGACAAGCATGATGTGCGGCCTGGTCCCTCAAGGTCCACCTGAGGGACTAACAGGCAAAACTGGGACCCAAGAGCCAGAACAGAATGATGTCTCACCTCTCTACAGATAGACATGTTTTCTGAAGAATTTAATCACAAGAAGCCATAAATCCATTAGCTCCATGGTTCAAGAGCCCATTCAATACTCCCTCCAAAGGTAGGCTTTTTTCTGGCTTCCATTCCTACTAAGGCCACCTCACAAACAGTCACCCTGCTGCCCAGAGAACCATCAGAAGCAGCGGGCAACCAGCTCTACAAAGGGAGCCCAGAGAAGCATCACTGGAGTGACTCCAGGTTGAGCATGGGCCCAGGGCCTTGGCCACCAAGTAAACACTGGGGAGGAGATAGCACGCCACAAGGATGACAAGGCAGAGAGGTGTCTGGTCTGCGGTGAGAGCCTTGGCTGAAGCATTATGGAGAGTGGCACAACACTGTGCCCCCCAGCCTGCCTTTACACAGAGAGACCCGACAGAGCTCACAGACAACAGCCCTGGACACTTCTGCCTTCATGGGCCCCTTCCTCCATAAAAAAATAATATTAAGAGTCATACTTTCAACTGCAGCAGTATAAAGACAATAAATCTGTATGTGTATAACGTTATATATTATATATATATAATATATAATAACATTTTCTTTGACCTAAAAGGTCAGGGTTTTTTCCACAATGAAGGAGGGGGAACACAAGAAACAAAAATAAAAATTACCCCAGACCTTCCAGCTGCCACGATTCTGATTCCCCACCACAAGCTTACTTATAAAAACACAAGTTCCGAGGGGAGCTCCAAAGCATTTAATTATCACATTTAAGGAACACTCCTAAGTGCCTGGCAACACCCAGGCCCCGACGGCGGAGACCCGGCCGCAGCACCAGTCTCTACCCCAGGAAGCTTGCTTCCTGCGTGCGATGCTTGGCGGACTCCTAGTACCACGGAGGGCCGGTCTCTGAGCTGAGTAGTTCTCAACTGCAACACCTCACTGAGTGACAATAAGCGACACGGCTACCGCTTTCCAGCCGAGGAGCTTCCAGGGCTGAGACGCTGGCACCAAACCACTGCTGAGGGAAAACACCGGAAACCTGGTGCCTCCACGAGCTGCTCTCTCTCGATCCTCCAGCCTGACCCCAGCCGCTGGGCAAGGTGGGCGCGCCCCAGGGGCGCAGCTCCTTGGCCAGAAAACTCCCAGGCCCCAGAAGTTAGGTCGCGCCCCGCACATCACTCTCGCTTCCGTCAATCTCAAAGCACGCAGCGCTCCACGGACACGGATCCAAAGGTAACATCCCTCGAGAACAAAGTTCCATGATGTAGGAGACGCTCTGAGCCCAGGTAAACTCTCGGCACAGTCCCGGGTGTGGGGCATGGTCCCGAGCGGGGGGCGGGGGAGGCGCGGCGGCCCGGGGGCAGACCTCGCCGGCGCCCTCCCGGGGAGCGGCCCCGCCCGGTGGAGGGACGTCTCGGGCGACCCCGGCCCAGCACACTGCCCGCCCTGCCCCGCCCCCGCCCCCACACACCGCCCCCACCGCGCCGCGCCCACCGCGCCGCGCACCTGGCCGCAGCGGCTCGGTGACGGTGAGCACGAGTAGGAAGAGCAGCAAGAAGGCACCGCTGTCTGCCTTGGGCACCATTTATCCTCCGTTCATCGTCCCCGGGGCGGCCGCGTGACCCCGCGGGGAGGCCGGACCGGGCCGGGCTGAGGGTCAGGGGACCGGGCCGGGCAGAGGGTTAGGGGCCGGGCGCGGAAGGGCGGCGGGAGAAGGCTCCGGCTAAGCCGCGGCTAAACTGGGCCGCGAGCTCGCGCGCACTCGGCGCCTCAGTCTCGGGTTCCGACTCTGGCTCCGCGCAAGATGGCGGCCGTCCTGCTCGGCTCCGCGCCGCCCCCCGCCCGCGCCTCCAGCGCCGGCCAATGAGTGCCGAGACGGGGGGCGGGGCCTGCACGCTCCCAATGCGTGTGGACCCTTGGCCGGGCGGGGGGCGGAGCCTGGGCTGTTGTACCCGAAAGGGGCGAGGCCTGAGGCTGGGACGGCGGGGAGGGGCGGGGGACTGGGAGGCGGGCCCGACAGGCGGGCGGGACTATAAGGAGTTAAGTGTGCCGTTGGTTAAGCGGAGAGGTGGGACTCGGGGGTGGAGCCTGGGCGGTAGGGCCTACTGAGGGCGGGGATCCCAGAGCAGGACGCGCGGGGCACGGGCAGTGGGGGAGGGGTAAACCCGGCCAAGATGACGGATACAGAAAGGGGCGGGGCGCAGTGGGACCGATGAGGTGAGGAGCGGAGAGGCGGGGAGCAGCCAGGGGGGCGGAGCGTGAAGGAAGAGGGGAGGGACGGGGAGCCGAGGTAGTCCGGGGTGAAGCAAGACCCTGGGGCAGGAGGGGTCGGCACACTTCGCATACCTGCAGGCCCAAATCCCGTCGGCGGCCCGAATGCTCCCTAAAGTGGTCCTCTAAAGGCAGAACCGCTGCGGAGAAGGGACGAGGAAAACGGGAGGAACGCATACAAGCTTTGAGGAAGTGGGAAGATGGGGTAATGGAGGATCCACCCTGTAAGGAACAGGCAGGTGTGGCTTCACCAGCACACAGTCCTGAAAATGTTTCAGGTGAGGAAATAGCCTACAGAAGTGTCATACGAGAGGAGTTGACAGGGAAACCCAGATCTTAGACTGTGGAGCAAGGCTGGCCTCTGAAGGAAGGGCCCTGCCTACACAGTGTGGGGAGGGTGGGGGGGGAAGGAATGTTGGGCACAGTTGCTGCCACAGCAGGCCACATCTGCAGGGAGGAAAGCCTCAGTTCCACCATGCTCCCAGTGCTGGCCTCACACCTGTCAGGGAACAGGGTGACGAGGCAAACACAGCAGATGCAGCGTCTCACTAGGAGAGGAGCAAGCTGTCCAATGGAAAGACCACCAGCCACACACACACAAGGCCTGGCACAGGGTGTCAGAGCTGGGGAAGAGGGTGAAGATGGGAGCAGAGAACAGGGGACCCATTTTAGCCTGGCCCACCTCCAGCCCCGCCAACTTGCTCCCCAGGAGCAGTCCTCCCAAGTCCCTTCAAGGCATAATCCTCCTGAATGTCCCAGGATTCCAGCCTATGATACTTGGGGTCCCTGAGAGAGGTACCCACTCCCTCTGAGTGGAGATGGCCAAGATAAAAGCCAAGGCTAGGCCAGACCTGCCTGCTCCTGCTCCTGCTCCCTCAGGGCGTGGCCTGTAGCAGGTGCTAGAGAAAGGGCCTGTCACAGCAGAGGGGCCCCACGGCCAGCAGAGACAGTGGTCCCTGTCCAACACTGTCCCGGCCGCTGGCATTGTCCTCATGGAGCATTCCCAGGAGCAGCTGCGGCACTCGGAGCGATCCAGGCCCAACCTTCAGTGTGCGCGGGGAGCCGAGCCAGGGTTACAGGCTGGGCAGACCCCACGGAGGGAACTCAGAGGTAAAAGCCGATATCCCTGCCAGTTATCCCCCCTGCAGAGCCACTGTCGGAGAAGCAGGCCAGCAAAGGTTCGGATGGGGAGAGTAGGACAGGAAGGTGAAAAGCCCAGCCACACCATGCAGGGAGAAGACAAAGCCCTGGCTTCCAAAACTGCAGTCACCACTGGGGCAACGACTCGCGGCCGCTCCTGATCCACCTCTACCTTTGGCCCTCCCACACAGCCTGCAGGCAGCCTGTGTTGACACCACCAAGGACCTCTAGGGCTGAAGGGAGGGACAAGAGGTCAGGGCTATTTTTCCCCAGCTCCCTCCCTGTGGAGTCACTGCCTCTACAGTCTTCCCAGTTTCCAGTGACCAACCTTCCCTTCTTCCAGGGGTCTGTTACTACCCTTGGGGTATCCTACACTCCACTCCCACCTTTGTAAGATGACTTTATTAAACTCTCCTCAGACTGCCCTAACTTGAGTATGTCTTTTGTTTCCTGCCGGGACTCAGACTAATATGACCATCCACCCTGGATTTCCTGGGATGCCCCATGTTGCAATAATCAACCCCACAAGGAGGCCTGGCTCCTCGTTTGGAAGCACCAGCAGACCGATGTGTTCCCCACAGCCCCCTCCTACCTCGGGTCTCAGCCAAGTGCAAGGCCACTCTCCGCTGGCCTTTGGTCCACTCCAGCCCCCTGGCTGGCCTTCCAGGGTTCCAAGTCCAAGTGGCTCAGGCCAGAGCCTCATTCCCCAAGGGCACTCCTTTATGACTTCACCCACTGAAGTCACCTGGGGGACAATGCTGAACGTTCCACCCCAGAGTCTTGGCCTCTAGGAGGCAGGGACAGCAGGCCCGGCCGGCCCAGAGGACTCTCTGTCCACAGTGTAAATGAGGACACTGCTGGCCCATATCCCGCAGGGATGTAAAGGGCAGCCTCAGAGGCACTGGGGGCTCCTGGCACCATGGATGACGCTGCCGTCCTCAAGCGGCAAGGCTACATCATGGGGATAAATTTGGGAGAGGGCTCGTATGCAAAAGTCAAATCTGCTTACTCTGAGCGCCTGAAGTTCAACGTGGCAGTCAAGATCATCGACCGCAAGAAAGCCCCCACAGACTTCTTGGAGAAATTCCTTCCCCGGGAAATTGAGATTCTGGCCATGCTAAACCACCGCTCCATTGTTAAGACCTACGAGATCTTCGAGACATCAGACGGCAAGGTCTACATCATCATGGAGCTCGGGGTCCAGGGTGACCTCCTCGAGTTCATCAAAACCCGGGGGGCCCTGCACGAGGATGACGCTCGCAAGAAATTCCACCAGCTCTCCTCGGCCATCAAGTACTGCCACGACCTGGACGTCGTCCACCGAGATCTCAAGTGTGAGAACCTCCTCCTCGACAAGGACTTCAACATCAAGCTGTCCGACTTCAGCTTCTCCAAGCGCTGCCTGCGGGACGACAGCGGCCGACTGACTCTGAGCAAGACCTTCTGCGGGTCGGCGGCGTACGCGGCCCCCGAGGTGCTGCAGGGCATCCCCTACCAGCCCAAGGTGTATGACATCTGGAGCCTGGGCGTGATCCTCTACATCATGGTCTGTGGCTCCATGCCCTATGACGACTCCAACATCAAGAAGATGCTGCGCATCCAGAAAGAGCACCGCGTCAACTTCCCCCGCTCCAAGCACCTGACGGGCGAGTGCAAGGACCTCATCTACCGCATGCTACAGCCGGACGTCAACCGGCGGCTGCACATCGACGAGATCCTCAGCCACTGCTGGGTGCAGCCCAAGGCACGGGGCCAGTCCTCTGAGGCCATCAACAAGGAGGGGGAGACCTCCCGGGGCCCTGAGCCCTCGTGGACCCCTGAGACCCCTGACAAAAAGTCTGCCTCCAAGCTGGAGCCCCGGAGGGAGGAGCCACAGCCCGAGACACAGTCCGAACCAAAACCCAACGAGGAGGAGATGTGGCAAGTGCCGGTGTCAAGGCAGTTGGACACCACGGGTCTTAATGGAGAGCTGCCCGGCAGGGAGACAGAGGAAGAGGCCCTCCCACAGCCTTCAGAGACACACACCTAGCGAGCCTCTCTTGGCCCAGGGGGCCAGCAGGGAATGAAGCAGAGCTCATGGCTTTGAGCCTGAGCTCCAAAGAAACCAAGGGACAAGCCAAAGAAGGAAGACGGTCCTGGATGAGCCACTATTTTCATCAGTTTCTTCTCCCTCCCTTTGAACTTGGTAACCCACATGGCTAAAGAAGCAATAAATCACTACATTAGTGCAGACCCCAAGGTGAATGTCTTTGCCCTAGCTGACTGAGTTCTCATCCAGGGAGAGGACCCTGCACTCCCTGCCGCTCCCCCCCCCGGCTCCCCACTCTCGGATCGCACCGCATTTCGCCTCCAGTTTGGGAAAATACATCCCTGTGTGCCCAGCCCTGACTGTGACCTCAGGCCCCGGACCAGAGCAGAGAGCTGAGCAAGGAAGACGCTGTTTCAAGAGGGAGGCCATGAGTGCGGTGCTGGGAAGGGCAGGGGGGCACAGAGAGGACAGGACCAAGAAGGGCAAGGGGGCACGGGGGCTCCCCCGCGGTTGGGGCTGAGGATCTGGGCCCTCAACGTCCCAGCGCTACTGACTCCACAAGGCTGCCGGTGGGGAGGGGGCCTGCGGGGGGCAGGTGGACCAGCCTCTCAGCCCCTCTGGAGCTCCCCACCCTGGGAGGCCACTCATTTCTTTCATTCTGTCCACCAGGGCTCCCTCATGGCCAGCCAGCACCCAGTTCTGGGCACACCCTGAGTCATCCTGCTTGTGGTTATTCCCCCTGCCCAGGAGAAGTGGCGGGGGGGCGCAGCTGGATGGCCCAGCCCCACCCAGCCTACGTGCCCCACAGTCACTGTGTGGTCTCGACCACATCCCTTTCCCCTCCTGTCCCAGTCTGTCCCCAGAGGTGATGCTCCACACCGGAGTGGATAAGCAGACATTGTCGAGGAGAGAGGACAGGTGTGCTCACTATGCAGGCCTGTGCCCTGCAGCCATCGGTGTCCTTTAGAGGGCACAGCCCTGCATTTAGCATCGCTGGCTGCCCTGCCCTGCACAGCCCACCCATGTCATTCGCGGCCTGTTCCTTCTCACCTCAGCCACGGCAGCCCCTTTCTCTTCCTGCTCTGCACTCACTCTGGACAACCTCATGTGGACCTGCGGGTTTGACACATCAAGAGGACAAGTGCCTTCAGACTTACCCCCACCCCACATTGGTGTCTTAGAAAGACTCCAACTCCAGGCCCTGGGAGAAGCGAGGTCCCGTGAGTGCCCCGGCCCTACTCTCTTTGCACCCCTCCACACATCCATGCCACCTCTCCGCTTGGCTCCCGCCCTCCCCACAGCCACCTTCACATATTCTATGTCTTCCTATCTCCGTGCTCCTGGGAGTCTGTCGTGAACACGCAGTGCAGCTACCATCAAGGCCTCTACCTGCCCCATGATTCCCCCAGTGACCAGAGCCTCCCTCCTGCATACAGTCCAGATCCCGCTGCCCTCGGGAAGGATCCCAGTGCACAGCCTTGGCATCCCAGGTCTGGCCTCCTCCTGGCCTCCCAGCCCCCTCCCTCATCCTCACACCCCCACATACACGTGCCATAATCATGCTCGTAGATGCATCCCCGCAGACCTTACCCATGTCTCCAGGATCAGCCGAGGGGCCATGGCCTCCACAAAGCCTTCTGAGCTCGGCAGCCCGCCACTATAAGCTCTGCTGGGGCAGGCCTGTGAGTGCTGAGGTCCAGGTGCAGAATTGGCCCTGGGTAATACTGGTGGAGCCACCCAGTTTTCCCCAGAAGCCCCAGGAACCCAGCGTCATGCAGATCATCCAGTGGCTGGAGTGGGGACATCCTGAGGAGAGGCTCATGAACCTCCTCGCCTTGGTCATCTGTGGCTTGTTGTGGTCACTGGGGCAGCAGGCAACATGCAGCAAGAGGGGCCTGGGAGCAACTCAACTATAGCCTAGCCAGAAGGCAAGCCTTGGGCAGGAGGGGCCCCACGAAGGAGCATCTTCTGTGTGCTTTACAGGTGGAGAGACAGCTCAGAGACGCAACCGTCTGAGATCACACAGCACAGAGTGGCAGCCCAGGTGACTGAAGGCCACTCCTTCCCGGATGGCCTCACATTCTGGGGCCATTCCCGGGGTCAGCCCTGACTCAGACCCCATCAGTGACCTTCCCCAAGGCTTTAGGATCAAGACCCTCACCATGGCCTCCACAGTCCCACCCCTGCACACTCCCACCACTCTGTCCTTTCAAGCCATGATGAGCTCTAGCAGGTCCTCGTCCCCCTCCATGTAGCTAACTCCTCAGACCTCAGCCCTCCCAGCCTCCCCAAACCCAGTCCAGTTTTTCCCTCACAGCCCCGCATTCCTGTGTCACGGTGCAGCCACCACTGGTGTGACACAGGAGCTCCCTATCCTCTGAGCTTCAGGAAGGCATGGGTCCTGTCTAGTTCATCAGTGAACCCCAGCATCTGAAACCAACCCTCAAATGCCTATAGGGTGAGTAGAGAAATGGAGGAAACTGAAACTCAGAAGTGGCTTTGCCAGAGTCTGTGGGTCTCCCACGCACAGGGCTGCAGGCTGGGAGTACCCCCTGGAGGCCCCAGGTCCAGTGGAACACTTCCCACCCAGGACACACCAGGAGGGCCTGCCTCGGTGTGCGTGTGCTGGGTGAAGCCACCTGCTTGCCGCCCCAGCAGCTCAGCTTGTGCCTCCTCTACCGCGTCCCTGAGAACCAAAGAGGCCACACTGTCCCGGGCAAGGGCAGAGTGTGAGGAAGCGGAATCCACAAAAAAGGGGAAAGTGGGTGGGTCAGCAGTCAGCCGAAAAGGCAGACATGCAGGGGGCGCCCCAGACAGAACATTCGGGAGTGCAAGAGAAAGGCAGAGGAGACTGTCATGCTCCTGGGTCCTGGCCTGCAAATCCTCAGAGCCAGTCCCTTCTGGGAGGCAAAGGAGTGAAGTTCTGGTCATTTCTGCCCGAGACGTCCCAGGAGAGAGCAGGCATCAAGCCAAAGCTACTGCAACGGAAGCTCCAAAGAGCCAGGAGTGGGCCTCAGGGAGGGCAGTCTACTCCTACTTGGCATCTGAACTCTAGCCGCCCCACCCTGGAGATCTTCCCCATGAACCTCCAGATGCAGGGAGCTCCCTGTGTGCCCCAGGTGGGTCCACACATCTGCCTGGCATGTCCTACCCCTCACCAACTCGGCAGGGCCCTACAGATCCTCTGCACTCTGGCTCCTCCATCACCAACCCTCCCAACCACCCACACACAAGCCTCCTCCTCCCCCTCTCCCCTGAACACTGAGCACATGGCACGCCCACGTGTGGGCACAGGATGCCTGTGATGGAGAACAAATGAGCAGCAGGGCTTCCAAAGTACCCAAGGAGACACACATAAGATGCCACAGTTCCCAAAGCAAAAACAAAAGGGTTTTCACGTTGCTTTCAGGTGCAAGACAGCTTGAGCGATGCAAATGCCAGGGGTCCACCAGGCCACAACACGCCTGCTCCTCACAAAGGTCCAGAGTGACATAATTCAGGACCCCCTCCATCCCCGAGTCTGCTCTTACTGGGACCCCAAGCACCAAAGCTCCAGCCAAGGCCCTGCCCACTCAGAGGTCAGTGCACCAGACCCTCTGTCTCCCTCTGCCACCCAGTCCCTCCAGGCCCACCCTGGGCCAGCCTCCTCTCATCTGGTCAAAGGTACTGGCCTCCACTCACCCCGAAGCCCATTCTCTAGGCACTCTGTCAGGGACCATCTTAAAATGTGACTTGGGGGGGCACCTGGGTGGCTCAGTCATTAAGCGTCTGCCTTCGGCTCAGGTCATGATCCCAGGGTCCTGGGATCAAACCCCGCATCGGGCTCCCTGCTCGGCGGATAGCCTGCTTCTCCCTCTCCCGCTCCCCCTGCTTGTGTTCCCTCTCTCGCTGTCTCTCTCTGTCAAATAAATAAATCCTTAAAAAAAAAAAATGTGACTTGGGTCATGGCTCTTCTGGCTCCAGGCCTTGAAATGGCTGCCCGCCACCTCCCTTCTCCTCCACCCTCCCTCCAGACTGTAAGACTCAGCGATTCTCAGGACAAGCCGTCACCTCCCCAGGCTCTCCCCTGCCTGGATGCCTCACCACCTCCTCTACCTGACTGAGGCCTGGCCCATCCTCCAGGCAGGCCCCAGCCCTCGGAACACGCATTTGCCAGTCTGGGGCCCAGGGCCCTGCCGGCCCTCCCACCCCACACACACCCAGCCTGCCACAGTGGCACTCCTCTGCCCAGCCTTCTACCCCGAACAGGAGCTGCTCTTCGTTCACAAGGCTGGCCAGACCAGCGCCCTTCCTCCCAGGCACCACCCGTTCCAAGGACAAAAGTCCTAGAGAGGGTTTTCTTCACACCCCAAAGAAGCTGCGGGCAATCGGCCCTAGTGGGGCATGGACCAATGCAGGGTCAGTCTGCACAGCCAGGAGAAGGAAATAGGCATCGGGCCAGCACTCTGGCTTGACCTGGGTGGCCCTCCCTTGGGCCTGACTCATGACAAGGAAGCCACAGCGAGGAGGAGCAGGGAGGGTTACCGCAGTCCTGGGTGCCGGCTTCCTTCTAGTGGGCGGGGGGGAGTGGGCCCTCCTGCCAGGCCAGCCTGGCTTCCAGGGTTCCAGGGGCCCCATTTCCCCCAGCTCAGTCCCTACTCCCGGCAGGCTGGCTTTATGACTTCACATGCTGAAGTCATGCGGGGACAATGCTGAGCGTTCCATCCCTCCAAGTCCAGGCCCAGCCCAGCCAGACGGCTCCCCACAGTGTAAATGAGGACAATGCCTGCTGGCCCACGTGGGGAGGGGATGTAGAGCGCAGCGGCGCTAGCCGCTCCTGGCACCATGGATGATGCCGCGGTCCTAAGGAAGAAGGGTTACATCGTGGGCATCAATCTTGGCAAGGGCTCGTATGCAAAAGTCAAATCTGCCTACTCTGAGCGCCTCAAGTTCAACGTGGCGGTCAAGATCATCGACCGCAAGAAGACACCCACCGACTTCGTGGAGAGATTCCTTCCTCGGGAGATGGACATCCTGGCAACCGTCAACCACCGCTCCATCATCAAGACCTATGAGATCTTTGAGACCTCTGATGGGCGCATCTACATTGTCATGGAGCTCGGGGTCCAGGGCGACCTCCTCGAGTTCATCAAGTGTCGGGGGGCGCTGCACGAGGACGTGGCTCGTAAGATGTTCCACCAGCTCTCCTCGGCCGTCAAGTACTGCCACGACCTGGACGTCGTCCACCGAGATCTCAAGTGCGAGAACCTTCTCCTCGACAAGGACTTCAACATCAAGCTGTCTGACTTCGGCTTTTCCAAGCGCTGCCTGCGGGACGGCAGTGGCCGCATCATCCTCAGCAAGACCTTCTGCGGGTCGGCGGCGTACGCGGCCCCGGAGGTGCTGCAGGGCATCCCCTACCAGCCCAAGGTGTATGACATCTGGAGCCTGGGCGTGATCCTCTACATCATGGTCTGTGGCTCCATGCCCTATGACGACTCCGACATCAAGAAGATGCTGCGCATCCAGAAGGAGCACCGCGTGGACTTCCCCCACTCCAAGAACCTGACGGGCGAGTGCAAGGACCTCATCTACCGAATCCTGCAGCCAGATGTCAACCGGCGGCTACACATCGATGAGATCCTCAGCCACTCGTGGCTGCAGCCCCCCAAGCCCAAAGCCATGTCTTCTGCCTCCTTCAAGAGGGGGGGTGAGGGGAAGTACCAGACCGTGTGCAAACTGGACACCCGGCCAGGCTCGCGGCCTGAGCACCGGCCGGACCACAAGCTGGGGGCCAAAACCCAGCACCGGCTGCTGGTGGTGCCCGAGAACGAGCACAAGATGGAGGACAGGCTGGCCGAGACCTCCAAGGCAAAAGATCATCATGTCGCTGGAGCCGAGGTGGGGAAAGCAAGCACCTAGTGGTGCTGAGGGCCCGGGGGGCGTGATGCATGGTGTGCACCCACATAAACTAAATAGGTAGTAGGAGCTGAAGGCGGCACAGGTGCAAGGAACAAGTAAAATCTGTCAATTAAACCACTATTTTGATTATGTTCTATTAGCTTTCTTTCACTTAGTAGCAAAGACATTGATTACTGACCACCAAATAAACCACAAAGTGTATACAAGCATCAAGAGTGCCCCGTGAGGAGTCTTTTTCTCTAGGACTCAGCCAACCACCCTCCCTGCGGCGTGGGGGTCTCCAGCATAGGGGTGCAGGGACTGGTGCTTGGGCACAGGCAGACTCATGGCGAGGCCCTGTGGGCAAGATGACCTCAGCAGCAGCCCACAGCCAGGCCCCCACGGTCTCCCTCTAACCCACCCCAGGCCCAGCGCCTCCAGGGCTGGCCAGCTGCACGTGTCTCTCCAGCTCAGGCACAGCACAGCCCACCCTGACCCTGATCCTGACCCCATCCCGCTCCCTCCGACAGCCCCTTTCTCCATGTACTCTGCTCCCTCCATTCCTGCGGTTGAGATCAGTGACCTTGGCCCCTTGAGTGCCCTTTTTTTTTTTAAGATTTTATTTATTTATTTGAGAGAGAAAGCAAGAGCAGGAACACAAGCAGGGGGGAGTGGGAGAGGGAGAAGCAGGCTTCCCGCCGAGCAGGGAGCCCGATGCGGGGCTCGATCCCAGGACCCTGGGATCGTGACCTGAGCCAAAGGCAGATGCTTAACGACTGAGCCACCCAGGCGCCCCTTGAGTGCCCTTTCATTTGCCAGGACAGCCCCAGCCCAGACCTCTCACCCACGCCCTCCCCAGCCCTTCCTATCCACCCCTTACACCAGCCAGTGCTGGGGGGGGGGGGCGAGTGCTTGGCCTTAAGTGGCCTTGCCTGGACAGCGTCTCCCTCTGCATCACACACCTACTCAGACCTCTCTGCCTCCATGCTGCTCTGGCCCACGCCCCCCCTTCCCTATGGGGGAAAAGCACCAAAGGCCACACTTTTCCTGACCCCCCCAGGGCGGTCCTGGTCCTGGTCCCACCCACTGAGCCCAGTCTCAGCCCCCTGGTGAGTTACAGGGCTTGGCTGGGGCTTGGCCCCCTGGAAACTGGCAGGAACTCACAGTCGAGCACAGACTAGTGGGTGCCTAGGCAGATGACTGGCCCCAAGCCAGCCTCCAGGGAACACAGCACTCACCGAGGGGGCGAGAGAACATGCAGGACAACCCAAGACATACCCAAGCCAGGGCAGGGCTGGGTATGCTCAAAACAAGAAAGACTCTGGTCTGAGCAGATTCTAGGCTGTCTCTTTGGGCAGTGCAAGCCCCTCGGAGGATCCGACCTGACCCCATTAAGGCTGTAAGAGACCCATGTGGAAGCCAGCTTGGATATCCCACGTCACCAAAGCTCTCAAGGTCATGGGCAAGTGTGGCCTGTGGTGTACATGATACTCTCCGGTCTGTGTAGAGCCTGGCCCCATTGCTTTTTGACACTGTGGCCAGGTTACTGTTACCCACAACTCCTGCTGGTGACTCAGCAGAGTATGGAAGGTGGTGCCTGGAGCACTGGGTGAGGGAAGGGCAGGAAGAGAGACAGTCCCGCCCCACCTGAGCTGGAGACCAGGTGCTTGGAGAAGGTGACGCTGAGGCCACTTTGAAGGTGCCACACGTGATGTGTTGTGCGACACATCGGACCCACGCAACCCTGTCACCAGCAAACCACGCGGGCCAGGCCCAGCTGGGGAGGCTGCGGGCCTGGACCCAGAGCCCCAGGGGAACCTGAGGGGCACAACTTCCAAGGGCTCTCTCCTCCCATCAGGGGGACAGAACTTGGGGAGCAGGGCCCAACGTGCTGTGAGCTCAGGGCAGGAGGCAGGTTCCAAGCCCCAGGGGGGCCACAGAAAGCAATGCAGGTAGTGGCGGGAAAGGCCAGAGACCCTGGACTTCCAAGTTCACCTCACCCAGAAGCTTCCTCCCAGGGAGGCCTGCAGTCCTGAGACCTTGATGTGGGCACAAGGGCAGCCTGAAGGCCGTGCGCAGCGGGCCGGAGAGACGGTCCTGCCGGACTGTGCTTACGTGCTCTTTAATGATGGCTAGATAGAAACAGGCAGGAGTTCCATAGAAAACAGTATCAACGAGGCCCTGGGATACACCCCGAGGGCCATGGGGGCAAGTCTCGTGCCAGCAGGCCTCTTTTCGGTGGCTCCTGGGGCAGTCACCATTTCTGGCCCGGGCCTGGGTCCCCAGAAGGCCGGAGTCCTCTGCCGAGTGGGCAGTTGCCCTGCAGGCTCCACGGAGCTTCCGCAGGCCCGGCCCGGGCCTGGCCCTAGAAGAAGTCTGAGGCTTTGCGCCGGGCAGGGAGCTGTAGCAGATTGTCCGTGATGGAGGCTGGGTCCTGGCTGAGGGGGGTGCGTGCTGCAGAGCCAGGAGCCGGTGTGCTCGTGGGGGTCTGAGGCCCACCAGCTGGGGTCTTGAGGTGGGTCGAGCGTGCTGGAGATGGGGTGTAGCTGGCCCGCAGGGCCCGGTCCGTGTACTTGCTGGCCGTCCTGCTCACGAGGCGCTGCAGGGCTGGGGACATGGCTGGGCTCAGGCCTTTGGGAGTGAGGCTGGGGTGGAAGGGGGTGGGTGAAAGAGGCACCATTAGGCCCAACCAGGCACTGCCAGCAGTGGGGCTTCCCACGGCCCCACAAAGATACATGGGAGATGCGTGGTCATTATGGGCTGAGGACACCCGATGGCCTGGCACACAGCTGTGGAGCCAAACTTAAGGTCAAGTGGTGGTGCTGCCCTTGGATGTGGAGCTGGGATGGACCCCAACTCTCTCCAAGGAGAACGACACACCTGTTTCCATAGGGCTGACAAGAGCTTATAGCGGGACAAGGGGCCCAAAGGTGCCTCTTAGGGATGTGCGGAGGAGGTGGTTGAAGAAGGAAAAGACGGAGAGGGGCCCTGCATCCTGGTTCATACAGGCCACGCCCGGACCAGAGGAGCTGCCATAGGACCCACCACAGAACCCCCGGGCCAAGCGGGAACAGGGAGAGACCCCCACCTGTGCGGGTCAAGCACTCCTCACCTGGCCAGGTTCTCCGTCACTCTCCTCAAGGCCTCCTGCTTCTTGGCTCGGTTCTTGGCGGCGGCCTCGTTGGCCATCTTCAGCCCCAGCCGTTCCCTGCGGCCGGGCTCCAGGATCTACAAGGCAGCAGGTGTGTGGGTGGCCTGCCACCGAGCCAGGCAGTCCCTTGCTGCTGGGGCACCTGCCTCTTCCCCGTGGCACCCCGTGATCCTCACAACCCACTGCCGCCTCCCTAAAAGCCCCCGACCAGCTCGCCTGAACTGCCCACCCGCCAAGGACCTGGGCCTCCCACCTGTCAACACGGTTCCCTGCAAGCCAGCACTGCCGACTTAGGAACCCCCGACAGTGTTCTAGGGAAGAAGGAGGTCTTGTTTGAATCGGCTTCCCTCTGATGACCGGAGTTAACCGTTTGCTGACTTTAACATCCATCGACCTTCTGTATTTCTTTCCAGAACTTCCCGAAATGGGTCCTTGTCCTATTTCTCTATCCAAGTGCTTGTTTGTTTCCTTACAGTTTCCCCTGTTACCTTAAGCTCGGCCATACAAACGCCTTCTCAATTACTTGCTTTCGGTGTTATTTACGACGGGTTTTTTTTTTGCTGTACTTAAGTCCACCGCTTCATATAGTATCATCCACCCCCTGCTTCCTTTGTGACCGGCTCTCTTCGCTTTACTCTTTCCTACCTTAATGCCAGATTAAGTATTGACTATGATTTTCTTCTCGTTGTCTACACTTAATTGTTTTCTACACTTAACCCTTCCATTTGAGGAATTTGTTCTGCAATATGTATCAGGCACTTTATATCCAAATACGCTACTGCTCAGCACAATTTGAACTGTCGTCCCTCCCGTACCCTGAATTCAGATTTGGACTGAGGTTTTGTTCAGAAGCTCTTCCCTGCTGCCCGGTAGGCCCCAGGATCGGGGCAGACTTCTGGCAACCCCATACCTGCAGCATGCCCAGACGCCTGCTGGCACTCCTCTCTCCGGTTTTTCTTGGTTATCCTCGTGTCCCAGACAAATTTAAGAACCAAGGTGCCCAAACCATCTGCACACGTTTTGTGTGGACATGCATTTCCTCCCAGAACAAGAGTGGTACTATACCAGGGAGGCCCAATGGTGTGGCCCACACCCTCCAATTTTCCTTATGCGAGCCTGCAGCACTAGCCTGTGGTTTCTTCACAAAAGCTAAGGTATTGTTAGTTGTTCTAAATTTCTGCTGCTACAGTGAGTAAGATCTCTTTTTCTGTTGCATTTCAAACTGTATGCTGCAAGTGTTTAGAGGAACTGGTTCAAGACAACCTCGAACCTAGTTCCCCATGCAGATCTACATTAATCCCAGGTTCCATGCCCGACCCCTTGGGGTTTCAAGCAGATGACGTTACCCCCCGCCCTTTGCTCTCTGCAACAACACTGACCTCTGCCTCCTATGATTTCCCAGCACTCCAAGTTGGGGGTGCTGGCCCAGCACCCCGAGAACAGGACCGCACGCTCTCAGCTTCCAGCGACTTCTCTTCCTTCCTGTTCCAAACTACGCCAGTCACTCAGTTTCCCCAACAAACCGTGCAGACCACAGTGCCGTGCCTTCTCAAAGCCTCTCTGGGGTCATCCTAGGCTACCTCATCTCCACAAACCACCTGGCAGCCAGCTTCCCTGCCCTACCTGCTCCAGGCCTCACGACCCCGCCCTCTGACAACTTCTACAAAACTGCTGCCTCCCAACACATGCTCTCCTGTAACCAGAGGCCTCCCTCTGCAGCACACAATTCTTCTGAAGACACAAACCACAGCCCACGGAACCCTGGGGTTCCAGGGCCCCTCCCGGCCCACCAGCCTGCAGGCTCAGAGGGCCATGGCTTTGGTGCCCTGGCCCCACACCCGAGTCCCTCCCTCCACCCAACACCTGTCCTCAGTGCCCTGGTCTTCTTCAGAAGTGCAGTGATGCATAGGTGTGCAGCCTGGAGCACGGCTTAGCCCTTCAGTTGGTTCTGCTTTGACCAGTGGCAGCTAGACCATCCTCTGTGCATCGAGCTACAGGTGCTCCGCAGGACATGTGTCTACTCAGGGTCCCATGTGAGCTCCCCTCACCATGACCCACCTTGAAGGCTGGCCCTGGCGTCCTGTCCACATAGGGGGTTTCAGATCCTTCAACTCTCAAGGGAGTGTTTTCAACTTCCCCCCAGGTCATCAGTGGCGACTCGTTCACACCTGCAGATGGAGAGTTCAGTCACCTCAGGCCAGGGGACGCAGGTGGGGGCACTGCCAGGCCCTCCCTCCAATGAAAGCCAGTTCCCACGGTGCATGTCCCAGCTAACACGAAGGCTGGCAGCTGGCCCACTCTCCTTCCCTGGGACTCTGGAACCCCAGCTCCTCCTACTAAGGCTACTTTAGGCCCAAAGCAGGCCTGGGCCCTGACAGCTGTGGGGCTTAGCCCGGGAAGGGGGCTCCCCAGAGAAGCTGGGCTGGCTCAGCTAGGCTCCCATCCTAGCACAAGGTCACCAGGGCCTCCTGGAGGTTGCTATGGCACCCCACCCCAAAGGAGGGGACACCCGGGGGGGCTTTCAGAATACCCAAACAGCCCTATTCAGCCCTGACATTGCACAGGTGGGACATGGGGTCCCCGAGTCCCACGAGGCATGTGGCAGACATGGCGAAGTGTCAACAGTGCCCAGAGCCACCTGAGCAGCCCACCTCCCCACAGGCAGTCCCATCAGGGGGCCCGCTTGCCAGCAGGTTCACATCTCACCGGGGGCAGGAGAGGGGGTTGCAACAAATCCATATCCGCCCACTCGTGGGGAATCCTGGGGTATCAGCTCCTTGCCATCAGGGCCTACCTTGCCCTGTTTGTGCTAGAACAAACAAGATAGACTGGTGTCAGGGGGGCCCAAGCCTCCTCCCCACAGCTAGCTGATGGGCAAATGCACAGGAACATGCCGGCAAATCTTCCCCTCCTTGGTCTGGCAAATCCAGACCCAGAGCTCGGGGGCTGGAGAAAGAGAGGAAGGACCCCGGCCCCCGCAAAGACCTTAAGGACCTGTCAGAGCAGGCATCAGAGCAAGGGAAGCTCCCCCTCCTTCCATGCGGAGCGGGGCCAGGGTCCTTGGCCTCAGTCCACACCCCACAGTAGCTGAAAGCAGCTACTGACTTAGACCCCGACAGGAAGCCACACTGACTACTGGCACATGTGCTCTGACCTCTTTCCCACAAGGCACCTGCAGAAGCCACCGGAATAGTCTCCCCACCTCCTGCCTCTCCCACTTCAACCCCATGACCACTGGAGTCGCCACTGCACTGTGACTCCCCGGCTCAGACATCCCTGCTGTCTGCCCCACCAAGCCTCACCCTACCCCAGCCTGCCCACCCCATCTACCCCTGCCCTGCCTGGCGAATGGGTGTGGGTCTGGCCAGCCTGGGCTGGCTCCCAGCAGCCTCTCTTCTCTCATGTCCTTGTCCCCCAGGAAGCTGGCACTGAATTGACCCACAGAATGTCTCTGGCCAAGACAGTGCCCCAGTGGAAGCCCGTAGAGGTCAAGAAAAGACTCAGGACCCTGCTGTACCGGAGCCGCAAATACTCACATACTGCTAGGCTCCGCCAAACCCAAGAACGTACTAATTTAAGAAAGGAAAGCAAGATCAGAGGGGTGGTGGCTGCCCACAGCCAGCCCCGGCCACTCACCTGGGCATTGAGGGCGGCAGCCTGCTGCAGCTGGGACCTGCTCAGGGCCTGGCTGAAGGGATCCCTGAGGAAGCGAGTATTCTTATGCACCACCTGCCTCGGCTTCTTAAACAACTGCTCTTCATCAGGGACGCCTGGTGGATAGAGAAGAGATGTTAGCAGTGTCAGATGGTGGGGAGGCCCCACCACTGCCCCATGCTCAAGGCTTGAGGGAGAGGCCAAGTCATCCCCCGGTGAACAGAAGCATGAAGCCGGGCAAAGCGGGGGGCAGCCTCACTCCCTCACTGACAGAGGCAGAGCAGAACCCCTCCGGGGCCCGGTATGCCAGGCAGCACAGATACACACACCTTGAAGGCCAGATCCAAACACCCAGCCCCACCCCATGCTGCCCACCAGCCCCGCCTGCTCACCCTCTGGGTAGTACATGAGGGAATTTTTCGCTTTGTACTTCCAGGTCTCCACGCCCGCCTGGCTGCTCTCGATGGCTTGGTGCTCTGCCGACGGAAGCGCAAGATTATCTTTCTGCCTCTGCATCACAGGGGGAAAGTGAGGGTCAGAGAGGTCCCCAGGCACTGTGCCCCTGGCCCCAGGACTCCCTCACCCTGACAGAGGATGCCCGTGCCGCTGCACCCAAGGACACCTTCTCAAACTCCTCCTCGGCCTGGTAGAGCCACGTGTGGCGTGCCCGGCTCTTCTCCTTGGCCACCTCCATGATCTCCTGGAAGGAGGCGTTGTCCTCACTTGTGTACCGGCTCAGGAAAACATCCAGGCTGGGCAGGGGTGCCTTCTCTTCCTCCTCTCCAACCTCTCCTGCTCAGGGGCGGAGGTGGGGTGACACAGAACCACAAGCAGCATGAGCACTTTGTGGTCACTCAGTCCCAGGAACCATGCTACCCCATAAGCAGGGTTGGAACCCTCACCCTGGTTGTGCATCTGTGGGTGACAGCCCACACTGCCAGACAGCTCCCCACCTGGGGGCAGAATCACCCCCACCCCCACCCCCCCACTGCCCAGGGAGCACTCAGGGGCTCTCCTCACCTGCTAGATGTCAAGTGAAATGTATGTCTGACTCAGACAGGAAGAGGGGCATCCAGAGGTCAAAGAAAAGGCAGATGGTCATAGTACGCCTTGCCCTGCCAAAACTGGGCCGGTCCTGTAGGACCTTTCTCCAATTACCCAAGCTCTCCCTCCATCCCTGGGCTTTCCTTCCCTGCCTGCTCTTCCCTTCCTGGAGCCTGTGCCACAGGTGGGAGGCTGTCACCTAAGTCTCCCAACCTGCTAGCAGACTCTGAGGGCAGGGACCCGGAGGATCCAGTGCTCCAGATGGGGCCACACAGGCACTGGGCCAAACCCCAGCTGTGGCACCCACCACCACAGAAGGGGGTACCCCCGCTGAAGAGGTGCCATTGCACTGTGCACAGTGGGGCCCCCTTCAGCGGGGCCACCAGGAAGATAGCCTTGTCTTCCATTCCACTGACAGTCTTGACTGCCTACTTTGTGCTAGACTGCACAAAGCACAGTGGCTAAAAGTTCAAGACCCAGAGTCAGAAAGATTAAGGACCCAAACCCTGTTCTGATGGTACCTACCACTGAGGTTACTGAAACGATTCCTAGATTTACCAACAAGGCATATTAAAAAAAAAAAAAAAAAAAAATCTGAGGGGCGCCTGGGTGGCTCAGTCAGTTAAGCATCTGACTCTTGATTTCGGCCCAGGTCGTGATCTCAAGGTCGTGAGATTGAGCCCCGCGTCGGGCTCTGCGCTCTGCACAGAGTCCGCTTGAGACTCTCTTGCTCCCTCTGCCCCTCCCCCCACTTGCACACGCGCTTGCTCTCTCAAATAAAGTAAAATTTTGATACATAAATAAATAACAAGAATCTGTAAACTGCCTGTGATTCATCTGCCACATCACAGTGGAGCTGCGATCAAGCTCCACTGATCAAGCTCCAAGGACACATCATGATGGACTACGGTAATGCCACAATGAGCTGGATTTTGAAGCAGAAAATATCTTGTCTGTGTGAGCGCACAGGGCATCTGCGTTAGCATGCTACAGACTAGGACCCAGGAGAGAACAACAAGCGTCTTGTCTGTCTGGGCACTGATGTTCTACAGACGAGATCGACCACTGATCATGAGAAAGTGCCATAGCATGTAGTACACTTATGTCCAACAGGGCTCAAAATGCTCTTTCCTAGAAAGATTCCCTCATAAGGCCGGACCATGTCGTGATACCCCAACACATGTGTGGAAGAAGGCAACTTGTTTGTTTGTTCTACTCCCACAACATGCCGTGTACTGTCCTAGATGCAGAATATACACACAGAAGCAAGACAGAGAAGCTCTCATGGTGAGAAGAGGCAAGAAATAGAGAAATGCCTTTTGGGGCGCCTGGGTGGCTCAGTTCGTTAAGTGACTGCCTTTGGCTCTGGTCATGATTCCGGGATCCTGGGATCGAGTCCCACATCGAGCTTCCCTTGCTCAGTGGGAAGCCTGCTTCTCCCTCTCTCTCTGCCTGCCACTCTCCCTGTTTGTGCTCTCTCTCTCTCTGTCAAATAAATAAATAAAATCTTTAAAAAACAAAACAAAACAAAACGCCTTTTCAAGTGCCATGTCCTACAGCAAGAAAACAAAGCCAAGCAGGAAGGCATGCTGGGGGTGGTGAGAAGGGGTCAGAAAAGGGTTTCCTGAATGGTAACATCTGAGCAGAGGCCTGAGGGGAGAGAAGGTATGAGCCGTGCAGCTATCCAGGAGAAGTGACTAACTCAGAAGAAACAAGTGCAGAGGCCCCAAGGCATTCTAAGATGACAGCGGAAAAGGGGCCCTCCGAGGCCCATGAAGCCCACTGGGCAGGGGCTGGCACACAGTGAGCAGGCCGGTGAGAGAGGTGGCCAGATTCCCATTCCACAGAGGCCGGAGGCTCGGAGAACTGCCCCATGCCTGCCTCCCAGACTGGTGCTCTTTGACCCCATGGGTTGCCATTTAGGCAAACAGAGCCCTCAGGGACAAGATGTGATCTGCCTCTGGGCCAGCCCCTCAGGGCCACACAGGATGAGACTCGCAGGCAAACCCAACCGCTCACTCACCATCACCCTCTTCCAGGCCTCGGCCCCGGCCCCGGGGCTTGTTGCCCACCACTCCGGTGCCTGTGTGCACATCAGGGGTTTCAAATGTGGCTGGAGTCACATCTAAAATGAGGAAGGGGGTGGGGATTAGAGCCAGCCTAAGGCATCAGTTCAGCAGGAGTTCCCCTCTCGGTCCACCACTGTCGCTCTTACAGGGTGGTGGGGGCTCTCGGGACATCTTGCCCAGGGCAGAGCCAAACTTGATGGCGATCTGACGCATCCGTTCCAGGTCTCCATTCTCCTCAGCCTCCAGGTACTCCTTCTGAGCCTGCAGCTTCTCCACATCAGGAAAGAAGTCCCTCTGGATGACTGTCTGGAGGCCCTATCAGAAATCAGAATAAAAGTCAGAGTTCACATCTGCCTCTGCTCTCAGTCTACCAATGTACATGCTAAGATCCTCGCCAATGCCCCCAACCTCTGTCCAACCCAATGATCCTGAGCTTAGCTGCACTTTCTAATGAGGATGAGCACGCCCTGTGATCTTGCTGCAACATCTAACATTACTAAACGCTCATCTGGTTTCCATGAAAGTTTTCTCTTTCCCCTCACTAACTGGTCCCTCTCATCTTTGCTGGCTGCATCTCCACACCAGCTGGACCAAGGTGGGTGTTGCCCCTTCATGCCATCCAGGGCCTCCTATTTCCAATCGGAACCCTTTACCTGGATGACTTCAGCCTGTCACCCCCACCAGCAGCACTGGCTGAGATTCCCAAGTCTGTACCTCCAGCCAGACCTTGCTCCTAAGCTGCACACCTGTGCACCCAGCTATCCACTAATGCCAGCTGCCTCTCTATCCGAGGCCTCCCAAACTTTACCAGTCCAAAACCAAACTGATTTTCTCCAGCTCCTCTTCCTGCATGTCTGCTGTAGTATTAAGACCTACTTGAAGGATCCTCTGACGCACACTAACTCAACGGTGCTGACACAACCACAGACTATTTCCAAGACCTCCAGCCTCTGCATTGCTGTTACAACTCTCTAGAAAGTCCTCTTTGCCACCATCCTCCCACAGGCCTCTTCACGCTTTAATAAAATACCTTGTTTCCCTGACGCGCCCCCCCCGACATACAAAGCAGCCCCCTCTCTCCCCTAACAACACTGCTGCTGCCTCCCCCATCAAGGACACCTCTCTCTGCACAGTATTTGTTTGGCTCCCCGACTGTCCACACCCCAAGAGCACAGCCTCGGGTTGCTCCACCTCCGCGAGGCCACGAGTCCGCCACGACCCGAGAGGAGAGGCCCGAGAAGAGCGCAAGGTGGAGAAGGGACCCAGAATTCGCAGCGCCGCATCGAGGTCTTACCTCGATGTACTCTTCTTCGTCCAGGACCCGTTGCTTGCTCGTCGCAGCCCGGGCCTCCCCTGCCGCGCGCTTCCTCCGGGGCCCGGACGCGGCAGGAAGCAACAGGGCCCGGGTTGAGGCTCCGGGCGTCTCCATCGCTATCCCAGAACCGCTCAGGCGGCGCAGGTACGTAACAGCGCCGGAAGTCGGGGGGCGGGACTGTGCCAAATGCGCAGGCGCTTGCAACAGTCCACCAATGGGAGAGCTGTGCGGTTCGAGGCCAACCCGCGCCCCCGTAGTGACGTCACCAAAAGCCCTGGCCCTTATGGGAGTTGTAGTCTTCGCTCCGCCCCGCTCTGGTCCTGCGAATCCGGACTACTGGCACCAGGGGGCGCTGTGGTGGGAGAGACTAAGGGGCGTGTCGGTCACGCTAATCGTGAAAATTTTTAGAACTCCGAAATTGAAAGGTCTTGGGATTCCAGTTTCTCGCAAATCATTGCGTGTACTTCTGTATTACTAACAAAAACACATTTTGGCTATATAAGCGGTTTCAATGTTTTTATTCAAACTTTTCTGCAAGAAAAGAACCCTAAGAATTTTTTCTTGATAGTTACCTAAAAAAAGAAAAAAAATACGCGGTCCAATGAAGAAATGTCTGGTTAAAAATTATTCGGTCCCTTTCGACGACTGTGAGGCCGGAAAGATTACGGCCGGGCCGAGGACGTCGGATCTCCCTCCCTGTCCTCCTCCCCTTCGACCTTCCCCGAAGCCCCTCAATAAAATGGTTTGATTAAAAAAAAAAAAAAAAATTCGGTCCCTGAACTCCACAGAAGAGGGCTCAGTCGCATTGAAATGGACCAGAAAATTGTCCAACCATTTTTCAGGAATGATCATTTCTTCCCTAAAGGAGGTCGTGAATTATGTCAAACGAGTTCTGCCCCAGAACAATTTAGTATAATAGGCAGTCATTCCTTCACTCAGTGGGGAACTCCATGATGATGGTTCCTGCCCTGTGGAGCTGACAAATGGGGAAGACAGAAGCTAGTCAGATCATCCCACAAACAAGCATAAACCTGCAGTGAACAAGTGCAAAGAAAGAGTTTGTACTAGGGGGCAGTCAGGGGAAGTTTCCCTGGGGTCAGGAAGTGCTTGCAGACCCAGAGAATGGACACTGATCAGGTGGAGGGAAAGAGCAGGTGCAAAGGTCTCGCAGCAGGAGGGAGAAGAAGACCTTTGGATATATAGAGTTCAAGGAGCGGTGAGGTTGAAGACGCCAGAGGGGCAGGGGCCGGCTGTGTGGGGCCTCATGGGTCACAGTGAGTTTTGTCTTTCGGAACAACGAGAAGCCCTTAGAGCGCTGTAGGCAGGGAAGAGGTACGTTCACACTTGCACTCTGCCTTTTATGGGGAAGGAATTAGAGGAACCAGAGTGGCTGCAGGTGGACAAGACTGGAGGCAGCTGCAGTGGTCAAGGTGAGGGATGACAGCATTTTCATCAGGTTGCTACAGTTGAACCTGGGCAGAAGATAGCTTCTGGGATTGTTTTTGGAAGCAAAATTGATTTGCTATATGTGAACTAACTTGAATTTAAATAACACACAAAAAAATTTGATTTGCTGCTGGCCTGAGTATGGTGGGTGGGGGAGGGGGGGTGGGGTAATTGCCAGTCCTCTGGCTCATGCACCTGGTTTGCACAGGGGAAAAGTTGCTGCCGACGAGGTGATTTTGAGATGCTGTGGGCTTCCAGGTGGAGTAGTCAAGGGGACAGCTGGACATAAATATCTAGCTCAGGAAGAGGTCCGGGCTGGAGATGTAAATGTGGCAGAGAAATAGGAATTGGGGCCTGAAGGTGGAAGTGATCAACCAAGGAGAGAATGGAGAGGAGAGAAGCATGCCTGGGGCCCAGCCTGCAGGACAGCTATGTTAACGGGCAGCTTGTAGGGGGTGAGCCTGCCAAGGAGCAGCTGGAGAGAAGGGAGAGAAAGGAGGACAGTATGCCCACTGGTCCCTTGAGGGTGGAGCTCTGATCATGGCTGCCCAATACAATGACAGAGAGCCACCGGGCAGCTAGAGTCCCAGAGCCCAGCAAGATGAGGGCATCCCAGCCTGCAGGGTAGCTCTGCACGCAGACTGTGCGGTATCCAAGGATAAGGCCAGGAGTCAGGGCAAAAAGCTTTTTTTCTTTTTTTTTAAGATTTCATTTATTCATTTATTTATTTGACAGAGAGAGCGAGCACGAGCAGGGGGAGCAGCAGGCAGAGGGAGAAGCAGGCTCCCCACTGAGCAAGGAGTCCGACGTGGGGCTCGATCCCAGGACCCTGGGATCATGACCTGAGCCGAAGGCAGATGCTTAACCGACCGAGCCACCCAGGCACCCCAGGGCAAAGAGCTTTGTGACAACTAGAGTGTGCATCCTGAGGGGTGGAGGGGGGTGTTGCTGTCCTGGAGGCACCCAGTGGTGTGAGAGCAGCGCCGCAGGGACATCGTGCCTGCTCCGTGTTATCTGAACTAGCCAGCCTTGGAGTCCTGGGGGCGGTAGCCCTGCCTTCTGCACCTTTAATGAATGGACTGTGTCTCCTTTCAGATACCCCCAGCCCATCTCCTCCAGGACCCATGAGGAGGCAGAACATGGTCCCCAAGCCAGATGATGGTGTTAGATGCCTTGAGCCCACCATACAGGCCTACTGGGGGAATCAAAGCCTTGTTTCCACACCGTCCTTCACCCTGGGGCCAGGATGATGGAGAGGAAAACACACATCTTCCAAAGCAGCGGTGGGGGCGGGGGGGGGTGCATCCTCCCTGGTCAAAGTTCCTCTTACCCCAACAAGATGGCAGAGAGGGAGGCAGACACACAGCATGGAATCCCCCCACCCATGAGCAGTACCTCGAGGCCAGTGCAGACCCCCAGGGTGCTAGGCCATTATCTGTGGGGTAGTCTGCTGTGCTGGGGGAACACAGGGACTGAGGACTCACTGGGCTGTGCTCCCAGAGGCAAGACGGCCCCCACTCCCTGGGTGGGGGAGTGGGGGCCATAGAGAACTTCGAACTCTGGACTGCTTTTGTGCTGTTTGCAGTTGCTTGTTTATTTCCCAGGATCCAGACAAGGCTCACAGAATTAAGGAGCGGGGCAGGGGCTTCTGGAGATGACCTCACCCAACGTTCTTATCCTATAGCTCTGAATGCCAAGGCCCAGTGCAGGGCACGCAAGCTGACAAGCTCAGGATGCAGAGAAACCTCCTGGGGCCCGGGCAAGGGAACTATGTGCCTGCTGAGGAGTGGAGGGGCGCCAGCATACCCCGGGAGGGAGAAGATTCTGGGCCCGCCTGACAAGGGGTGTTTCCTGTCCTGGAGTTGGTGCGGAATTGAGGAAACTGACCTGCTCTGTGCCCTGCTCCCAGCCCCACCAGCCCCCAGGGAATCTTCCCGACCCTTAGTCACTGGAGAGGCGAGCACATGGAGATGCTCAGTGTTCCCTCCTTTCACGGGGCAGGTGACGGGGTGGGGGGGGTGTTGGGGGGGTACACACACTCCAGGATGCAGGAAGCCCTGCAGACAGACGGGAAGAGGCTAGTGTCCCCTCTCAGCTCGATTTCGGGTAGATCTGTCCTCTCTCTGAGTGGGCCCCCAAAGACGCGGCCAAGTCCAGGAGTAGCTACCAGAGCCATCAGCAGCTCTCCTTTGGGGCCTTCTTGGCTCCGGGGAGGAGCCTCGAGGTCGCTGAAGTGCGCTTCTGATGTCGCCACTTGGCCCGGCGGTTCTTGAACCAGACCTGAGGAGCAGAAGGGACCGCTCAGGCCCAGCCCCAGGCCCCGCGTCCCCCCCCCCAACCCCGACCCCCATAGGTGGACCAGGCGGGGAGCTTCCCGATGGGGATGTGGGCAGACGAGGGCTGCGGGGCCGGCCAGCGGCAGCGGCACCCACCATCTCTTAACCGCTGCAGGTAGGGGCTGCGGCTCGGGCCGCGGGGACGAGAACCCCCTTCCCACCCGGACCAGCCATCTCTCTGCACGCCTTCCCACCCCCCACCTCCGCCCGGCGGTGCCCCGGACGCCCCTTCTGCAACTTCATGCCCTTTCCGAGCTTCCCAAATTCTGGCACATGAACGCGCGCCTCATTAATCAGGGAAAATAAAAAAGTTTAAACCAAAGGACAACTAGCCTTACCTCCCCTCCAGTTCCAGGGACACTTTCCCCGCACGTGCCTTGTCCCCGCCCGCCCCCCCCCCGGAACCGGCTCTGCGCCCCACAGCGGTCCCCGGGCCTCTGGCGCCTCCTCCCATCGCGCCAGGGCCGTCTTTTCAAGAAAAGAGGGAGGAAGGAAGCCAGCCCGCTCGGGCCCTCGGCGGTCCGGCGGGCGGGCACCCACCTCCACGCGCTCCTCGCGCAGGCGGATGCGGCCGGCCAGGCGCTCGCGCGTGCCCACGTCGGGGTACTGGTTCTGCACGAAGAGCGCCTCCAGCGCCTGCAGCTGCTCCTCGCTGAAGATCGTACGGTGGCGCCGTGTGCGCCGCTGCGGGCCGGGGCCGCCCGCGCCCGGCAGCGCCCCCGAACCTCCGCTGGCCGCGGCCAAGGGCAAGGGCGCCGCGGGGCCCAGCCTCAGCGGCCACGGCAGCCGCGCGCCTGCGGGGCGAGGGCGCGGTGAGGCGCGGGGCGGGGGCCGAGCTCCGCCCCGACCGCGCCGCGCCCGGAGGACCCCCGCGCCCGCGCCCCGCTCCCACTCACCCAGCCCGGCGGCCGGCTCCGGGGGCCCCCGGGGCGCCGCGCGGGGCCCGCAGCAGCAGCAGCAGGCGCAGGGCGCGGCCTCGGGCGCCCCGGGCTCCCCGTGCTCCGCGGGGCTCTGGCGGCCGGCAGGCTGCGGCGCGCGGGCGACCCGCGCCGGGGGGCTCCGCTCGGGCAGGCTGGAGAGGATGTGCTCGATGGAGAAGGGGCAGGGCCGCCCGGGGCCCCTGCGGCTCGCCGCGCCCCCCGCCGCCGCCATGCCCGCCCGGCCCCTCCGCCGCCGCCGCCGCCGCCGCGGGAATATATACGTCGGGGGGAGCGCGCTGTAATCCCCGGGCCGAGCGACGAGTCCACGCGGGCTAATCCCGCCGCGCGGGCCAGGGGCGCGCTAATCCCCAACTGCGGCGGGGGGAAATCCTGCTCCGCATCGGCGCGCGGGGGG